ACCGAGCTCCAACTAGCTCGGTTCTTCCTTTCACTGCGTGCGCCTCGGTTTGACATACTCCAACTGGGCTGCTCATTTAATACCGAGCTAACCAAGCTTGGTGTTCCAATGCATAACGCCAAGCTAGCTAGGTTCTCTTGCAGTTGTACCTCGGTTGCCTGTTGAAACCATGCTATCCATAGCGTGCCTAGACCGAGCTACTCAACAGCAAGGTCCTGAGTAGAAGCCAAAAATACCTCGGCTCAAGATAGTTTGACCGAGCTAACTGTCACCGTGCCGACCGTGGTGACTGAGCTAACCACCAAGCTCTTTCGGACCGGGCTATCTGCAAGGCTCCTCTGAACCAGACTAATTACAAGGCCCTTCTACTCAGCCCTTCTTACTGTGGCCTACAGAATGGCCCACTACCCAGCTTGGCCCAATTTACATATAAATTACCCTCTCTATGGGTCAAATCCTAGAAAATTGGTCAAAACATAGAGAAATTTATGAGCGAATCAGAGAAATTTCAAAATAAAGAGAAAAATTCAAAACAAAGAGAAAATCAGAGAAATTGAGTAATCTAGAGAAATTTCATACTAGAGAAATTTGAAACCAAAGAAATTACAAAACACAGAAAAATTTGTCTGAAATTTGTATATGTTTTGAAATTTCTCTGAAAAATGTTGAGGGACCCCAAGCACTATGAAATATTGCATGTCCTTTATTCTATGAAATCTTAATACCAGAGACCATTTAAAAAAAAAAATTCCACTAAAAATATTTGATTTTAACTTAATTTTATTTCTTAATTTATAAAAATTATATTTTATTATTATTTTTTTTACTAGATTAACTCAAATAATAAATAAAAAATACATTAAGTTCAATTAAAAGTAAAAAATATATATTAAATTTAAAATCGTATTTTATATACTTTTTAATAAATTGGATGTGATTATGTAAGACATAAAAAATGTCCTGATATTTTTTAGTAGAAATAATATTAAAATGTATAACTAATTCTTCATTATACGGGTTATCCGTATCAATTTCGTGTTATGCAGATTTGATTCTAACCTGATCTGTTTAATATTTGTTATCGAGTCGTGTCATATATGTGTTCGTGTCATATACGTGTTCGTGTCAGAAAATAGTCAACATTAACTTGCTAATTTTGAGTATGATTCAAATCGTATTATCGTGTCATGTATTGTAAATTTCCACCCTTACCAAAAATACTACCATTATTTTAGAAAGTAAGTTAAAAATTAATTTTTTAACTTTTTTTTTTGAAAAATGTGTAAAAAAATTTTAAAAAAAAATAATATAACTTAAAAAAATTAAAAAATTGACTTTTCAATCATTTTTAAGCATCACGTTAAACCATCCTTCTGCATATATTTTTACCAAAAATGTTTAAGACCTCTAAATAAGGAGCTTTAAAGGAAGCTCTAGAAGTGAGTTTCACCTTATGATTTGATGTTTTGATTTATGATGTTGCATTTTTTTTTTTTTTAGGAAAAATTATACAAATAGTCTCTATAGTTTACACGACGTGTCAATTTGGTCAATGTAGTTTTAATTTGTCCGATTTTGCCCTTTAATTTAATGGATTGTGTCATTTTAGTCCAATAAATAACGGGTGTTAAGTTAATTTAACGGAAAGTCAAACAATATATCAATTTGGTCTCTGTATTTTTCTAGAAGCCATGAATGAAGAATATAAGTCTATGCAAGACAATAAAGTTTGGGAACTTGTCTCATTACCAGTTGGTGCGAAGCCCGTAGGTTGTAAATGGATATTTAAAACCAAAAGGGATTTAAATGGTAATGTGGAGAGGTATAAGGCACGTCTTGTAGCCAAAGGCTTTACTCAAAAAGAAGGAATTGACTTTAAAGAAACTCTCTCCAGTTTCTTCGAAAGATTCTTTTAGGACAATTATGGCGCTTGTTGCATATTTTGATCTTGAGTTGCATCAGATGGATGTCAAAACAGCTTTTCTTAATGGTGACATTAAAGAAACAATTTATATGGTGCAGCCAGAAAACTTTGTGTCAGGAGACCCAAAGAATATGGTTTGCAAATTGACTAAATCCATCTGTGGACTCAAACAAGCTTCTCGTCAGTGGTACTTCAAATTTCATCAAGTTCTCACTTCGTATGGTTTTGAAACTAACGTTGTTGATGAATATGTGTATCACTAGTTCATTGGGAGTAAACACATATTTTTGGTTTTATATGTTGACGACATATTGCTTGCCACAAACGATATAAACTTATTCCATGACACCAAGAGATTTCTATCTAAGAATTTTGAAATGAAAGATCTTAGTGATGCTTCCTTTGTATTAGGAATCGAAATACTCCGAGATCGTTCTCGGGGTATTCTGGGATTATCACAAAGGAGCTATATCGAAAAAATACTCATTAGATTTGGCATGCAAAATTGTAAATCAGGTGAAACCCCGGTTGCTAAGGGAGACAAATTTAGTCTCAGCCAATGCCCGAAGAACAGTCTTGAAATTCAAGAAATACAGAAGATTCCTTATGCCTCAGCTGTAGGGAGTCTAATGTATGCTCAAGTATGTACGCGTCCGGATATTGCGTTTATAGTTGGAATGTTAGGCAGATATTTAAGTAATCCTGGCTTGGATCATTGGAAAGCAGTCAAGCGTGTTATGCGATATTTACAGAGAACAAAGGAATATATGCTCACAGATAGGAGATCGGATAAGTTAGAGGTCATTGGATATTCCGACTCCGATTTTGCTGGATGCCAAGACAGTAGGAAATCCACATCAGGCTATATTTATCTGTTAGTGGCGGAGCAATTTCTTGGAGGTCTGCAAAGCAGACGCTCATAGCTTCATCCACCATGGCTTAATGAATGGATTATCAATTTATCAGAATTCATGATTTTCATTTAAAAACTTAGAGGTTTAAATCTCAATGAATGGATTAATAATAATTACTATGATTTCACATCACAAGTTATGATTTGGAACTTTAATGAATGGATTAATAATTAAAAAGATTATTTTTTCACTCCCATTGGGACCCTAGCAATTAATGGCAAATGCTTAAAAGCTCCCTTAAGGTATTGTTTAGTATTAGAATCATAGTAAAAGTGTTATAAAATGTATTGATATCAATAAATATATATATATATATATATATATTAAATTATGAAAAGTATCTCATGTTTTTTAATTTTTAATTTTTCTCTTGTGTCCTAAAGGCATTTCTTAGCAAAAACCCATGATTACAACATGTAGAACACAAGAATTACACATATTTGAGAATTAATAATAGTTTAGAATTGACTTTTTTAGTGACTAATTTGTTGATTTTTTTTATCTTTAGTAACTTTTTTTAAATAAAATTAAAAAAAAAAATTAACTTTTAGAATCTACTCGACGAGATGAACTGGGGAAAAAAAAAAATTGATAAATTTTTTTTTTTTAAAAAATCATTAAAAATAAAAAAAAAATTCAAAAAAAGATACCTTTTTCAATTAGACGTAAAACCATCCCTTAATAAGAACTACGTGAACAATGTGTACATGTACCTCCTCGTAAACTTAATGTTAGGGATATATCAAATTACTCATAGATATTTGGTCATTTATTTGACAGAAAATTTGAGACTTATATCATTTTCCACTTAAGGACACACCACCCCACCTTTCTCATGATGTAAGTAGACGTCCTAATAAGGATCTTCCAATCAAGGTGCTTAAAATTGAAATTTGACATAAGATGTTAGATAATGTCTCAATGGGACCACATAATTAAATGTGGTGTTATTATTTATAAAAAGCCTACAATTTAAGTGATTCAATTTAGTTAATAGGCTTAAGGGTATATGTGTTATGGACCTAATGTGTAGATACTAGTTGTATAATTTCTATTTCTATGAGGGGCAGAAATAGAAATTAAAACATATTAGTTAAAGTTGGTTTTCATTACCTTTCAGTTTTAAAACCAATAATGGTTAATTTATTGGTTTTCATTACCTTTCAGTTTTAAAACCAATAATCGTTAATTTATTGGTTTTCATTATCTTTCAGTTATGAAAACCAATTACAACCTTTAAAAGGTTATGCTCCCTATTCCTTCCTAAGGTGAAAAAAATAAGAACACTGTTTGTTTTTCTAAATCCTCTCAAGGAGAAACATAAGGCACAAAAGGGAAAGGATTAGAAGGCTCTAACAAAGTCAATATCAAAGGTTTTATTGACAATCAGACGCTTCCGTTTAACCGTTCATCGATGGATTCGGGTAAGTTTTAGTCTTGTTTTCTTGATGATATACATGGTAGATGATCCGAAACATGAAGTTTCATGTTCTGAAATTTATGTTTACAGGTTAACCTAAAGCTATATGATTCGTGTGGCAAAGAAGGGGATTCAACGGCTTTTATTGTACTTTGGATTTTCTCTTCCTTTGTTTCATTAATTTTGGTGCCTCTTTCTGCAAATGAGATTAGGGGTGATTTTGTTGTTGCATTGGTGCTGCCTTACTTTTGGGCAATTGCTCTGCCTGCCCTTTTGCTACTGGTTTCTTCTCTTTATGTATTTTTGCTGCATTAGTTTGC